ATTTACAATATTGTTATAGTACAAAGCATAGAAATAAAGAAGCAACAGAAATTATTGGAGCAAGACCATGACAAAATAATAAAAATAGCTGAGAGATTAGATTCACATGTTACGCAATTAATGCTCGAATTAGAGAAGAAGAGTTCAATGCTCAATAATGCATTGGAAACATTAAAAAAAAAAGAGGAATCTTTGTCACATGAAAAAAAATTGTTTGAAGAAAAAGTGCAATGGGAGCGTAATCATTTAGAGGTAATTATCTAACGTAGATATAATTAAATAATTAATGTATGAATGAATATTAATATTAATGCTGTTTGAAAATCATCTATAATGTATTGCAAGGCGTTGAAAGAATCTTGGCTTAATGAACAAGAGAGACAATTGAAGGCTTTGACAAAGGAGAAAGAAGTAATTGCGGCCAAGAAGAAGCAATATGAAGTTTTAAAGACAATAAATAGTAATACTGATAATATTACAAAGATAGAGGTAAATTAAAAATATATTTTCATAGTATATAGAGCGTGTATATTAAAAAACTAAGAGAAAAAAATATTGTTTCAGATGTCGGCTGCTATAAAAGCAGCACAAAATGCTACTATATATGCCGAACAGGAAAGATTAAAGTGGCAAGAAAAAATGGAATACCTCGAAGGACATCTGCAAAGTTTACGAGAAAAGGAATGTCGGCTTTTAACACGCGCCCGAGATCTTGAAAATTTCACACGGGTAATAGTAATCAAACTTTTACATGATATTTAAATATAGATGTCAATATAATTAAATAATTATCCAGATGACATTTGAAAAAAATGAAGCCATTAAAGCATTGGAAAACGCTCATCGTATCAAAAATGAACATAAAATCGATCCTCGTAGCCAATTTGAGAACTTGAACTTAGTAAATATAAGGTAGATATAACTCATAATGATTCAACTCTATAAAAATAACATTTATAAAAATAATATTTAGATAATTCCAAATTTCTCAGCGAAACGATGCCCTTGACAAAATTGAAACAAAGTCTAAACAACCCATGTAATTATATAGACAAGCAAACATCGTCTAATCAACAACAAACATTCCAAGTTACTACTCACTTTAGGGTAAGAGAAAAATAATCATCAAATATAAATGACAATAAAATTCTTTCTTTTGAATTATTCCATAATATATTACATTATTCCTTAATATGTTACAAAAATATATATGTATATATATAATTGGTTTTTTTTAGGAAGTTGTAGATCCTCAATTAGTAATGTTGAAGTTGAATCTGGATGACCAACTGGATAACATTCAATATATATAACTGCCATGAAATTTTGATACAATAGTCAATAAATACATATTATACACTTTTCTCATAAAAATTATCTGCTTAATGTTTTTATACACATAACAGACAATAAACTATTTTTTACATTATAGTTGATCCACTATCTGTTGACTCACCATTGTTAGTAAGGTTTATACTTTCGAAAACTAAAAAATAAAAGCTTTTAATTATATTTTCAATTATTATTAATACTTAAAACTTTGTATCAACATTTCTTTATATATACCATTCAAATTTATAATAAACAATAAATGATTATCAAAAAAGCTGAAGAGTTGAATATTCACCTTCAGTGTTATCACTGCTATCTAAAACATGTTGTTGTAGCACTGCAATATTTTCCTTCAATGTTTCCAGCTGGGCAATACTGCATTTTGTTTGATACAGTGCTTTTCCTACATCTTCTGTGCATGTTATCTAAAAATTGCAAAGCATGATTAGAATTTAGGCAAAATGAAAGGAATTAACACAAGGAATTAATAACAGAGAATTAAATTTCAACATGTGAGAAACTGCGATATTCTTTGATCATACAATACATAATATCCTTTCATTTTTTGAAAATAATTCACTTTGTAATTTCTTTATTTTATTCCTTATTCCTGTTTATTATGTCTAGGTTCTTATACTTTTTTTTAAGGTTCTTCTATATTGAATAAAAATATTCATTATTTACTAATATTATAATTTTTGTTATTTACCACAGCCTGGATCAGTTTTAAAGGATTTATATTATTTTCTTTAGCATTAAGAATTTTGTAAGTATCTCCCATATTATTCAAGAATTCAATCGCATCAGTGAACATTGTCTTCACATCTCTAAAATGGAAAAATTTAAATCAAGAGAAGAGTTGAAATTTTACATAAAAAAAAAACATTCTTACATACTGTGCACAATCATGTGGTACAGGCAAGCCTGAAATATCTTTTGAAGAGTGTACGATCTTGTGTACAGAATGCTTGTGCGAAGTAATCATATTGAGATGTTTCGTGATGTTTTCCTTGCATTGTATCCTCTGTCCTGCAAACAATGAGACATTTAATGGATATAATCATGATATTTTTCAACATAATTAATTCCAATTAAAATTAATTCGAGAGGAAGAATAATTAAAATTGGATTACCTCTCAAGTCTCGTAATTCCTTCATCAATTTTTTGTGTTCATCCGGTTCGGCATCGAGACGTTCTAACTCGCGTTGATTAGCAAGTCTTTTCTGTTGTATAAGTTTTATAAAACGTTCTATGTCTTCCATGTTACACAGATAATACGTTAAAAAAATAGGAAAAATATGGGAATTTATTGCTGTCGCATTAAAATAAATTCAAACACTTTTCAAACACTACACTCTAAACATTCTCCGATTTCATTTAAATAAATTTTCAAACAAACTTTTATTGTATATAACATAAAAACAGAATGAGCAATTCCAGAATGATATCATTCCCTAAAGATTAAACATAGAAAGAATTAATCGCGTTCAGGAGGTCGATCATGTAACTTTTCCCCTAGGGCGGAAACATGAAAAGTGAAAAGTTTCACGTGAACTTACGATCATGTACGATTTTGTGGGATCATGTAACTCTCTCAAAATGTGAAATTTTTTACGTGAACTTTTTCGTTGTGTACTTTGTTGGCGGAAAGGCGGAAATCTAGGGAATTAATAAATATGCTTCGGAATTAAAGAAGCTTAGGGTTGCGTTAGGATTAAGTGTACGTAGTACATATACAATTGGTTATTAAAAGATGTATATAATACTGTACCAATAAAATAATTTTCATTAGCTATAAAACTTATGAAACTATGTTTCATGATTTCACTTTCCATGCATCCAAACTACATACATAATCGCTGTACATGAAAAGTTTCACATGAAATGTCAAGAGGGTTAATCATGTAACTTTACGTGAAATTTTTCACTTTTTATTTTTCACTTTTTACTTTTCATTTTTTATATTTGAGGTGTGAAAAATGAAAAGTAAAAAGTGAAAAATGAAAAGTGAAAAATTTCACGTAAAGTTTATTTTAAACCTATATTAGGATAACGATTATGTAATTTTCCTCTAGACACTTTTATCAATAAAAATGGGTTCAGGCCAATTATGTATCTTGAAACGAGATAAAAACAAAAAATTATAAAAGTTAATTACAAAAATTACAAAAAATTACAAAATTGACTCTTGAATATGGACTAATAAAAAATTTCCACTTTCACGTTTTCGCCCTAGAAAAAAGTTGATCGGTACTCTGAACATAAAAATTCCTAACAGTTACAAAATAAATAAATAGATGTGTTCGCATTGCTTGCACTCTCGAAAATTTTCCACATTTAAAAAGTAGGATAGATATATTCAAGGACAATGGAAAAAGAAAGGACGAGAAATTTAAATGCAATAAGCAATGCAAACAAACCTATTATTTTACTATTTTACTGTTGCGCATGCGCTAAAAATTCGTGTAACAATCGGCATGCGCGCACATGTAGCATGTCAGGTTGTGTCATTGTACTCCGGCATTTCTGCAGTTTTAATAATATGACAGGAAGTCTCGTTTGAGTAGTTTATTAGAGGAATAAATCCAACAATATTTTGAATAAATCCAAGAATGAGCACGATCCTGGAAAAAATCGCCTCTATTGAGGCTGAGGTAATCTTTATTTTATTGATGTTACGAGTATTTTGTTATTTGTAGCATTTTGTTCACGGAATGGTCTTTTCTTCCAGATGGCTCGTACTCAGAAGAATAAGGCGACTTCTGGGCATCTGGGTCTGTTGAAAGCGAAATTAGCAAAGCTTAGACGCGAACTGATCACTCCGAAAGGAGGCGGCGGAGGTGGCGAGCAGGGTTTTGAAGTTGCCAAAACCGGTGACGCTCGTATTGGTTTCGTTGGTAGGTCTTTCACAAATGTGTGATGTTTTATATTAGCTGCATTATATCCAGCTACATTGAAACAGGTTACACATAACATATTATTGCTTTTTCCATATTTTAAGATTTCTTTTAAAACTCATTATCTATCCT